AAATAATCCTTATCGCTCCTATTTACAGGATAAAAGTAGCTCTCACCAAAATAACATTCACCCCAATAAGAAAGAACACCCCGAGCAACATTTTATCAAAAATGCTCAAAATCATGTGTTGATGCGCATATACAAGTGAGACCAATCAACACAAATGATTTACTTATAACAATGTTTATTACCATTTTTTAATAAATACACTTCAGCCTTATCGCAAAGTTTAAAAATTTATCTTGTACTATTCATTGATGAATTGTTTCCGAAGCACTTCAGAATTCGAAAAAGAATCTCTTATTTTAGCTACTGTATATCCGTATGAGTAAACAAAAGAAACAACAAGCAAATAAATTGGTACGGTAAAGGAAAAAATTGAATAGAAAAATGCATTAATTGTTTTTCTCTTGTGAATACAATAACATATTGCAGAGATGTTCAATAAAACAAAATTTCATATTTTTCTTTTTCCCAGAATTGTTCTTTCTGGTAAGAGGTACCATTGGTAAATTGCCAAAAGCTAACAAAGAAACCAACTAATCCAAACCAGCATATCATGGTCAAATAAGGTGCAACTACAACTTCCCATCCACCATACACAAACATAAATGGAGCATCATAGTAAAATCTGGCTTTATTATAATCCTCATGTCGTAAAATAACGATTAAAATTTTGCCAAAATGTAACACCTCACCTGTTAGTTTTAAAATTACATGCACAAGTGTCTAAAATAAATTTTGAAGACAGTTATCGGGTGCATCGAAAATTTGAACTGGTTGCAATGATCCTTGATACTGAATCGGGAAGATCGCAATTTTGAAAATTAACTTCGGAATATACATTCAATTATCTATGTGTCGATATAATTAACTGTTAAAAGCAATGTTTCTTTCACACACAAACAATTGTAAATGGGAACTGTAAATGAGTCAGAAAAACATCTGGATTTTAAACACTGAGTTCCTCGAATATTTCGTTAAACTCCTATTTCTACTACCTAAATCTTTAAATGTCGATATTTTTAGTTGCTCTATCTGATTCTATCAAATCATCGTAAAAATTGCCTTTTTCTGCTTACCACAATGTAAATCTACGTCCCTTTCTAACAAAAACGTTAACAATAGTCAGGGCTTCAAATCTTATTAATCCAAATACGTACATACACAAATAGGTTTTTAAATGATAATTATGGAAATGTAATCATTCAGTAACGACACCCTTATTTATCCTAAACAAATATTGGGGACTCTTGCTTGGCTAAATCATTCCCGCCTCCCCAGGAAACAATAGGAATTCTAACAATACAATCATTTTATCATCCAGAATTAAACAAAAGCGTAACAAAAAAGTGAAAGCCAATTCCATTATGGCAGCTTATGGCTGCAATTGTCAAAATGAAAACAAATGCAACAATATTAACAAAAGAAAAAGTGCCCAAAATGAAATTCGTTAAAACTCCAGTAGAAATTTGTTTCAAACGGTGCACTTTGCGACTAAGTGTATGGAAAAAGTAAATTAATCTTAACGATTACCAATATCCGAAGAAGTTTGAGATTGCCGAACAGTCGGCTTCGACTCCAGGTACGTCGACGATCGCAGAACAATCTAAATCGCTCGCGGACGTGGCGATTCCAGCATCGGACGTGCCAATTCCAGTGTCTGAGGATTCAGAATCCGTTTCGTCATCACTATCGACTTCCTCCTCATGTCCGATCGCTCCGGTGTCTTTTTGCTGTTCGCCATGGCCAAGTTTACCAAAAATATTTCGCACAAAACTCATCTCAACACGACCGTTACGCACATTAATCTGATCAGATGTAGACTACTACTTACGAACGACGGCATGCGTCGCGGCGTCGCTATCCACGACGACAGCCACCTAGAGGACGACGCTCCACANTTATCTTTAAACAACTCGTGTACTTTTTTAATATTTATCTCCAATTTGTTGTATGTTTAAATAAACAGTATGTATAAATAAATAGGTACTTTTGTACAGTTTGCATTTGTTTATTTCGCTTATCTTAATTACTGTACTGGTAGAGAAACACATTTTGTATTCCAAAAATATACTTTTTATTTCAATTCATCCTTGTCATTACAACAAAATACCATTCACTGTAAAATTTGGAATATTAGTGACATTTCCCCTTAGTTCGCGAACATCGCAACAATAACTGTACCCCAAGGTATTATCATTAGCTTTCCATGTCAACCAATTGACCTGACTGCAGATATTAGTGCACAAAATATCTTTTTCTCGTATCAATTGATAAGGGTTGTTCACTCCTACGAAAGCAATGGCAGTTTTGTTCTCAGGTTCATACAAAACCTTCCAATACAACCTCGGCACGCTTATGGCATAATTGTTATTCGAATCCTTGTACAAGTATAAGTCTTGTTGGTTACCGTTGACATCGGGCAGACTTGTGACCCCATGACCACCGGTATAAATCACTAGATCAAGTTGTCGATTCGCACTGAAACTTCTCACATTATTTTCCAAAGTGTTCCAATTTCCCCCATTGAAAGTTTGAAACTGGGGAGCAGCATTTACAAAATAAAAGGTCAGCCTATGCTGTGCCCCAAAAATAAAATCAGCCTTGGCCGCGAAATGTCCTCTTGTCAAGAAGAAATTATTAGTGGGCTGAATGTATCTGGTGTCATTCGAGTTCAATCCCAAAATACTGTTAATGGTACTTCTTTGAGTTGCTCTACCATAAAGGCTATCAACTGATGGATTTGTATTGTAAAAGCCGCCGTCCGACCAAAACGGTCTTGGAAATCCAGTTTGGTATCCCAAAATTGTTTTGGTCATGTTGAATACAGTGTACAATACGTCTTGGGTACTACTGGCGAAACACGATGTGATTTGATTGATCCATCGGCTCTGGACTTCAAATCCGATCGATATTTCTCTACCTCTGCCATTCAAACAACTTTCCCCATTGTACTGGGCAACGTGGTACGAATAACTAACAAAAAAAATACATTATTTTACCATAGTCCCATCGAAAGTACGCTATTTTTCCTTGGTTTCAAAGACGGAAGCGCAACATTTCTTTCTGGTTTACACTCTCAAAATGTAATTTCTCAACTCCTGTTTCTAAAAGTAGGGAAAAGTCGTACTTTCGGGTCAGAGGTTTGGCAAAAAATCGTATAAAATTTGAGAAGGGAATGTTGATACATTTCTATATTACGAAAGAAACGAACTAACGAAAATTAAACCATAAATTAAAGCAAAAATATTAGCTTTAGAAACTAATGTAATTACTGATAATTTTGTTACATATATATGCACATAAATTCATTTAAAATAATCCTTATCGCTCCTATTTACAGGATAAAAGTAGCTCTCACCAA